GAACCCTAATATCACATTCAGATGGATTGATCAAGCATAAAGAACGCGAAAAAGGCAAGATAAGACAAATCTCGCGCTAGAGGTTTGGATAATACCACAGAAGATATCAAATTCAGCGGGGCAAAACGCTTGGGGTGATCGGAAGAATCATGAATACGATGATCAGGTAATTTGGGTCTTAGGTTCGTTAAATAGCATAGGATTTCGCAATTAGATCCCTGGGTTCGCGAGGCAAAGTTTGGGGCTTAAGGATTTCGTAATTAGATCTCTAGGCTTCGCGATGCGAAGTTATGGTTTCGAAAGTCCCAATTCATGTCGAATTTTGTCGATTTTTTTACAATTCTCAAGACAAACAAGAAGTCAAAAAACACTAGAGAAGTAATATTGTCTTGAAAGTAAGGAAACATTACAAAGTTGTATCCAGTCATGGTTTTGTGTTCACATTATTATCAAGGGTTGGATCTTCCTCTCTGTTTATGTCGCTTCTCTCCTTAATAAGAATTCAGAGGCGGTTCTGAGGGTTAGCAGGGTGTGCAACTGTACAGGCCACCAGTTTTTTTAATTTTTTCTTTTGCATTTTAGGGCCCAAAATTATTAAAAAGTTGCAAAAAGGGCCAAATTTTTTTTTATAACTATATACTCCACATTTGAAAAAAAAAAATTATTGGCACAGGGCCCACAAATTTAATGAGCCGCCCCTGAATAAGATCAATAGCCTCATCAAACGACGTTTTTTTAGGAAGAACAAGTGAAAAAGTTGCGTCTTTCATGCCCTGCTCCTTTGAGCCAAGTCCACTACCTCTCTTATACCCCATACTGCTACCGATCCCTAAATAAAAAAGAAACACCAGTTAAGGACTTTTTGTGCAATTTTTCTACCGGAGACGAATAAACACAAATCAAACACGAAATTACTCAATTTCCAATCAAATTGATTAAAAGCCCACATATTGAAATCAAACAAAAAATTTGAACACCAAAACTAATGAGAACAAAGTCACAACTACTAATATTGGACTCTTTCTACTACTCCATTCGTCTTCGACCTTCTCCGTCATTTAGACCCAATTGTCCTCGTGTTTTTGGTTGTCGATAACCTAAAAATAAATATTTCACGTTTAAAAAAATCAAATATAAAATTCTAACAGAAATAAATTCAAACCATAAACAAATCTCAAGTTTTTTTTATCTGAACAGTAGAAGTGTGGTGATGGCCTCCATCTTTCCGACTTTATATTGGTGTCTTCGTTTTCTTCATTTGAAATTGAAACATAATACAAAAGATTTGTTGCCGAAAATCAAAACCTCTTGTAGATAACAAAGAGTGAAATACCTATATATGAAAAAAAAATGTGTCAACAAATGGAAAAGCTTTTGTGTGTTATTATAGTATTGATTGGGCCTTAATTATTTTGATGGTAAATGAAGTAGAAAGATTCCGACAAGTACACCTTTAATAGAGTGGGATCTCGATTGTAGAAGTCTATCATACAAAGATTATGGTCGATTGTACAAGTTTATCATACAATCGACCC